TTTTTTTTTTTTTTTTTTTTTTTTTTTTTTTTGCTTTTCATAGATATTGCAGGTTTCAAAGTTGAGGATTTTAGAATAACTTATAATACCTGGTAAAAAACGTTCTTCCTCGCTTCTTTTCCTATATTGTCAAGGTACTCGGCCGCAGCGATGACACTTGAATAATTAACCCTTTCTAGAGCGCTTAAAGCTGCCTCCTAATCATAAAATTACCATGACGAAAACAATTTGTGTAAGAAGAAATGATAAATACTTCAAAAATGTTTTAAAATATTGTGAGGCACGTTAATTTACGAGTACTGTAAACTGGGTTGCTTACCTCCTTATATCCATGTATTTGCGTTAAAGCATTAAGCATCATTTGCCGATTGTTTAATAAATTTTCCTCTAAACACTTGCTACCAGTCGAATACTTGGTATCTTTTTTGACACTTTTATCAGCCATACATGGCTGCTCATAGGGTCGCAATGAGTCACGAATTTTTTCTAACTTATCTCGATGCCTACCGACGCCGAACTTAACTTCCTGCAAACAACAGCAAACAAATGCTGATTAGCTAAAAAATGATTCAGTTATTAACTGTTCTCAGAAATATAGTTCTGTTAAGAAAAGAAAAATGAAAGAAGAAAAGGAAGGAAAAACAAATTTGTGAAAGCACAAAAATAAAACAAATAAATCAAAATATGAAACTAAAAAAAATCAACCTGTGCATCTTTACGCATTCTTGGCGATGCATCCGATGAATGAAGTACCGAAGTTGCAGACGATGATGGTAGCTGAAGAGGATTACTTGTACTTGCCATTGCAGGACGATGTGTCGGCAACATCATGTTATGCACAATATAAGTGTCACAATATCACAATATTAATACTATTTTAATACTAATACTAATAACAATAATATAATATAAACAGTAATATTAGGTAATAGATCGGTCAGGGTATGCCAACAAAATCATGAGAAATCTGAAACGAAATGCATCGCCTGCAAATAGACTTTAATGAACGAAAAGCAAACATTATTTAAAACACAAAATTGAATTAAGCAGATAACTTATCACAACCGTAACATCTTTTATAATGCTCCCCTCCCCCTTTGTTCAAGACTACCCCATCCTTCCATCCTCCTCAATTTACTCTTAAAAAAGTTATATTTAAAGGAATACTCCAATCTTCTAAACGATGCTCATATTTCTCAGTTAAAATTAAAACTTTGAAACCCGACAGCATACAAAAAAAAAGCATATATTTTTTATAAGCAATTGAAGTTTTCTACATAAATACACGAATAACATCCAAAGAATCAGACATTCGTTCAAAACGGCGCTAACTTCAGCGGCAGCAATGCAATAACAGCAGCAGAAATGCTTAACATTTCAATTAAAAACCCTTTCCAAAAAAAATTAAATATAATAGAAACTTTGGCATCGACATCAGGTTCCTGGTTCTATAATCGGGAAACAACTCCAAAAAAAACCTTGGCGACAAATAGCGGATGATGCGGCATACAGCCAGCATCACTAATGGTTGGCTCAAAAACTCGGTTTCTGCCTAACTGTATCAGAATGGGTGTCAAAAAACTTTTTTTTTCATTTAGCATAACAGCCAAAAGATAGCAAAAATTTTTGGACAAAACGAAAAGCAAAAACAAAGATACATACTAAATTTTCAGCAAAACCAAGTAAATCTTTTGATTTTGTGCATGTTGAAAACCACTAATCCAGTTGATCTAAAGGAAGAAACAACAAACTTAGCTAATATCTTTTTAGTGGCAAGGGAGAGAGATTCAAAGAATATATAGTGAAAAAAGAGGAATTTAAAAAAATATACTTCTATTGTAAAGATAATTAGAAATGTCATATACTAAAACAAACTTTGTGCTTTTTTCCAAAAACTCTTCGTCTTCCTCTTTCCCTTATTCCTCCTCTTCTTCTTCTCTTTTACCTTCTTTCTTCCCCTACTCACTTATTTCTTCCCGCCCCCCTTCCCCCACTCGCCGCTATTATAAAGATTATAGACTAATCGCTTTTAAGTCATCTCACAAATATAATCTTCACCATTTTCATAGGAAAAAAAAAGAAGGAAAAATGATCTTTGTCTCTAATAAAACATGAAGCAACACTTTTAAAAAATTAGACAGCTTTCAGCTTTTCTATCAATCCAATGTGGGCATAAAAAGAAATACAAGGCTTAAAGCGACAATGAGAACTCTTCAACAGCAGCACTTCACCAACAGTTGTACAATATTTTTTTGCTGATCAAAAAATCCTCCTGAACAATGAATTAATCATCGGAAAAATGCAGATGAACGTAACAGACAGATCAACAAGTGCAAGATGAAAGAAAACAAAGACTAAATGAAAGATGCGGATGGATAGCCCGATCACTGTCAACAAATAGTGACAATTAATTGAAACAACTCTTACTCCAACAGTAAAATATGGCTTCAAAGAAAATACGGCTTCAGTGGCTTCACCAAGAAAAAAATAAAGGCAAAAAGAAAGGTAAAAAAGCATAATTATTCATGGCCACAAATACGGATTAAAACTCTTGGCTGATGACCACATCGATGGCAATGATGATCGAGATGACGACGACGATGGCGATGATGATGATGGCAACGACGAAGAAGAAAAAGAAAAAAAAGATGAAAAAGAAGAAGTAGAAGAGGACGGAGAAGTAGGAGGAGAAGATGATGATGATGAAGAAAAAGAAGAAGAAAAGGAAGACAACGACGATGACGATGACAAGAAAAACGAAAGCAACAAAAAAAATGATGTTTTTTCCTATTTTTTCTTCTTCCTCTTCTTCTTACCCTCCTTCTCCTGCTCCTTGTTCTCCTCCTTCTTATTCTTCTCCTTCTCCATTACTTTCTCCTCGCATCATCATTTCTTTTTTTTTTCATTTTCCTTAAACAATTTACAACGGTTCAAATGACTGTCGTGTTAGGAAGCTAAGAACCATTCTCTTTTCCCATTAGCCAACCAGCACCAACATACACACAGAAATGTTTACAGAGCTACTTAAAGAAATGAGTTAGCAGGAATAATTGTGCAACCCAAAGACACGATCAGAATTTCTCTATAACATACTCCTATATAGATAAATATAAATATCAAATACTGAATATTAAATATTAAATATCAAATATTGAATATTAAGCATCGAATATTAAATATAAATATAAATATAAATATAAATATAAAT